AAACAAAATGTGGTGTATCCATACAATGGAATATCATTCACCCTTAAAAAGAAAGGAAATTCTGAATTTGGTTCAAGATGGCAGATTAGTTAAATGCTATGCCTACTGCATCCCAGGATCACACCAGAATTGCAAATAAATTATAGAACAGTCAACCTCAAGAATCATCTGATGACTAGCTGAACAGAACCCCTATAACTAAAGATATAAAGAAGAGGTCACATTGAGACTGGTAGGAGGGGTGGAGACATGAAACGGGCTGACCCCAAACCCATAGGTAATGGTTGAACACCAGTAGGGACACCTCCATGGCAAAGGTCCTCCTGGAAGAAGGACAGTTCCCAGCCCCACACTAGGCACCCCAGCACAGAGGTCCTGTGCCAGGAAGAGGAATTCCCACAACACCTGGCAGTGAAAATCAGTGAGGACTCTGTCTGCCCATCCCAGTGAGACTGAAGGTGGCTGGAAACCCAGACGCCCTCTTAAAGGGCCCACACACAGACTCACTCGCAAACACTCACCTGGTCTCCAGTGAAAGGGTGGCAACTTGAGAGGTGCCAGAGACATATGGGGGGAAAACTGAGTTGTATGGCTTTGAGCTGAGAGCTGCAGGGACAGCAGCCATTGCTCCAGTGTGGAGCCTGCCTCACATGTAGCCTTTAGGAGGGTGCCATCTTTTCTATGTTGAACCCTCCTCCAATGGGCCAAAGCTGAGACCGCATTGGTCTGTAAAATCCATGCATGTGCACCACCTTGGTGATGCCCTGGGTCCCCACCCCACACAAGTAGTACTGCATCGCCCAGGGCACTATTGGTGACTGAGTGGCCAGCCCTGCCCCACAAGCTGTGGAAACCTTTTACAGCAATAGATGGCCTGCAGAGGCCTGGGAAACTTTTGGTAGTGGGTATTGAGCCACAGTCTGTACTGTAGCCTATCTTGGATGGCTTTTGGGGACCTGCAGGCCTAAGATGAACAGTGGCTGGCAGCGGTATTCTCAGGGCTTTTTTGGAAGATAAAGGAATTTATTACCACCAAGTCAGTATTACAAGAAATGTTAAAAGGACTTCTTTAAGCAGAAGAAAGAAGAAAACAAACAAAGATAAAAAATATAAATAATAAAATGGCAATAACTATGTACCTATCAGTAATCACTTTAAATTTGAATGGATTAAATGTGCCAATCAAAAGACATAGATTAGCTGAATGGATAAGAAAACAAGACCCATGCATATGCTGTCTACAAGAAACCTACCTCAGATCACAAGACACACATAGACTGAAAGTAAAGGGATGGAAAAAGATATTTCACACAACTGGAAACAGAAGAGCTGGAGTAGCAATACTTATATTGGACAAAATAGACTTTAATATGAAGGCTATAATAAGAGACAAAGAAGGACATTACATAATAATAAAGGGATCAATCCAACAAGAGAAAATAACCCTAGTAAACATGTATGCACCAAACATAGGAGAACCTAAATATATAATATAAATATTGACTGACATAAAGGCAGAGATCAACAGTAACACAATCATACTAGGGGCTTTAACACCCCACTGATACCAACGAACAGATCTTTCAGACAGAAAATCAACACAGAAACAGTGGACTTAAATGACACACTAGACCAGATGGATTTAATTGATATTTTTAGAGCATTTCACCCCAAAGCAGCAAATATACATTTTTTTCAAGTGCACATGGAACATTTTCCAAGATAGATCACATGTTAGGCCACAAAACAAGTCTCAGTAAATTTAAGAAGATTGAAATCATATCAAGTGCCTTCACCGACCACAATGGTATGAAACTAGAAATCAATTACAAGAAAACAACTGAAAAACACACAAATACATGGAGGCTAAATAACATGCTACTAAATAATGAATGGGTCAACAATGAGATCAAGGAAGAAATCAAAAGATACTTTGAGACAAATGAAAATAAAAACTCAATGACCCAAAATCTATGGGACACAGTCCTAAGAGGGAAATTCATAGCAATGCAGACCTATCTTAAGAAACAAGAAAAATCTCAAATAAACAGTCTAACTTTACACATAAGGGAACTGCAAAAAGAACAGCAAAGCCCAAAGTGAGTACAAGGAAGGAAATAATAAAGATCAGAGTGGAAATAAACAAAATATAGACTAAAATAACAATACAAAAGGTCAGTGAAACCAAGAGCTGGTTTTGTGAAAAGATAAACAAAACTGACAAACTTTTAACCAGACCCATCAAGAAAAAAAAAAGAAAGGACCCAAATAAATAGAATCAGAAATGAATGTGGCAAAGTGACAATTGACCACAGAAATACAAAAACTTTTAAGAAAATACTATATGCCACCTATATGCAACTATATGCCAACAAATTACACAATTGAAAGAAATGAATAAATTCCTAGAAGCATACAATTTTCCAAGGCTAAATCAAGAAGAAGCAGAAAATTTGAACAGGCCAATTACAACAAATGAAATCAAATCAGTAATCAACAAGCTCCCAAAAAACAAAAGTCTTTGGATTAAGAAACTTTGGTACATTTACACAATGGAGTATTATTCAGCTATAAAGAAGAAGGAAATAGTACCCTTTGCAACAATATGGATGGAACTAGAGAACATTATGCTAAGTGAAATAAGTCAGTCAGAGAAAGACAAATATCATATGATCTCACTTATACGTGGATTCTAAGGAACTGAATGGATGGGAGAAGTGGATGGAGATAGTCTCAGAGATACAGAGGAAGAACTGAGGGTTGCTAGTCGGGAGGGGGTGGGGATGAAGGAGAAGGGGAAGGGATGAGACAATACAATTGGGTAATTGTAATATGGCCGCAGGGATAGAAAAAGACAGTCTGAGGAATACAATCAATAATGTTGTAAGCATTTCTTAGGGGGCCAGATGGACCCATGTCCTTTTCGGGAGTCCACTTCATAGTTGATGTAGAGGCCTGACCACCGCATTGTATTTCTGAAACTGATGTTGAATAATACTGTATGTCAACTATAATTATATATACATATAACCTCGGGACATGGAGTAGAGTGCGGGAACAGATTCAATGGAATTGTAATAGATAAGCATGATATCGGGGGTGGGAGGGTAGTGGATGGGGGGAGGGGGGTTGTTACTTTGTGAGGGTGAAAAATGTAACTATTGCATTGTTCTGTACACCTGAAACTAACAATAAAAAATTTTTAAAAAGTCTTGGACCAGATGGCTTCACAGGTGTTTTACCAAATATTCAAAAAAGAATTAATACCTATTATCCTCAAATTAGTCCAAAAAATTTAAGAGAAGGGAAAACTCCCAAGCTCCTTTTATGAGGCCACCATTACCCTGATTGCAAGGCCAGACAAAGACGTTACAAAAAAAGAAAACTATAGGGCGATATTTAGTGAACATAGATGCAAAAATCCTCAACAAAATATTAGCAAACCAAATTTAGAAATACATTTAAAAGGTCATACACCATGATCAAGTGGGATTCATTCATGGTATGCAAGGTTGGTTTAATATTTGCAAATCAATTAACGTGATACACCACATAAACAAAATGAAAATTAAAAATCACATGGTCATATCAGTAGATGCAGAAAAAGCATTTGACAAAATCCAGCATCCATTTATGATAACTCAGCAAAGTGGGAAAAGAGGGAACATATCTCAACATCATAAAGGTCATATATGACAAACCCACAGCTAATATCATAGTCAATGAGGGAAAGCTAAAATTATTCTCCTTAAGATCAGGAACAAGACACTTTCACCATTTTTATTCAACATAGTAGTGGAAGTCCTAGCCACAGCAATCAGACAAGAAAAAGAAATAAAAGGCATCCAAATGAGAAAGAAGAAATAAAAAACTGTCATTATTTTCAAATGACATGATACTATATAGAGAGAACCCCAAAGATTTCACCAAAAACCTACTAGAACTGATAAATGAATTCAGTAAAGTAGTGGGATACAAAATTAATATTCATAAATAGGTTGCATTTTTATACACCAATAACAAACTATCAGAAAGAGAAATTAAGAAAACAATCTCATTTACAATTGCATCAAAAAATAAAATACTTAGGAATAAATTTAACCAAGGAAGTAAAAGACCTGTACTCAGAAAATTATAAGACACTGAAGAGAGAAATTAAAGAAGATACAAATAAATGGAAACATATACCATGCTCATGGATAGGAAGAATTAATGTAGTTAAAATATCCATACTACCCAAAGCAATATAGATTCAAGGTAATCCCTATCAAAATACCAATGGCAGTTTTCATAGAACTAGAACAAATAATCCTAAAATTTATATGGAACCATAAAAGACCCCAAATAGCCATGACAATCCTGAGAAAGAAAAACAAAGGTGGAGATATCATGCTACCTGATGTCAAATTACACTACAAGGCCATAGTAATCAAAACAGCATGGTATTGGCATAAAAACAGACACATATATCAATGGAATAGAATAGAGAGCCCAGAAATAAATCCATGCCTATCTGGTCATTTAATCTCCAACAAAGGAAGGAAGAATTTACATTGGGGTAAAGACTGTCTATTCAATAAGTGGTGCTAGGAAAACTGGACAGATACTTGCAAAAACTGGACCATTTAATGCCATATACAAGAATAAACTCAAAATGGATTAAATAGTTAAATGTAAGACCTGAAACCATTAAACTCCTAGAAGAAAATATAGGAAGTAAATTCTCAGACATTACCCTTAGTAATATTTTTACTGATATATCTCCTCGGGCAAGGGAAACAAAAGAAAAAATAAACAAATGGGACTGCATCAAACTAAAATGTTTTGCACAGCAAAGGAAATCATTAACAAAACAAAAAGACATCCTACTCAATGGGAGAAGATATTTTCCAATGATACATCTTATAAGGGGTTAATATCCAAAATTTATAAAGAACCCATACAACTCAACACCAAAAAACAAACAATGAATTAAAAAATAAGTGATGGTGGTTGGAGGGACGGCAGTGAGCACATGTCGGCCGCTGGAAAGAGCTGGATTCTCGTTTCAGGCCATTATCAGAAAAGCTAAGTTTGCTGTATAGTAAGGATCAGAAGATCTGATCCTGATTACAGAATCTTGGGTTGTGACTCCCCCCCTCATCCTTCCAGACCATCCCAGAAGATATATAAGAGTGCATCTGAAAAAACACTAGGAGTTCCTGGAAGAGCAAGAAGGAAGAGGATTATTGGTTGAAATAAAAACAGGGTTGAATGAGTTCCAGAAAGCAGGGTTCTCAAACTCGTGGACAACAATCTGCAGAAGAAGACAACTTCAAAAAACCAACTAGAAGCAACATGCAGAGAAGCAAGATGAGAAGGGCCTCCTCGGGAAAGAAGACGGCTGGTCCACAGCAGAAGAATCTGGATCCAGCCCTCCCAGGCAGATGGGAGGGGGGCGCTCTGCTGAGAACCCCCCTTCAGGATCTGTGAGGAAGACAAGAAAGAACAAACAGAAGACTCCTGGAAACGGAGATGGTGGCAGCCCCAGTGAAGCCCCTCAGCCACCTCGGAAGAAAAGGGCCGGGGCCGACCCCACTGTTGAAAGCGAGGAGGCGTTTAAGAATAGAATGGAAGTTAAAGTGAAGATTCCTGAAGAATTAAAGCCATGGCTTGTTGAGGACTGGGATTTAGTTACCAGGCAGAAGCAGCTGTTCCAACTGCCTGTGAAGAAAAATGTAGATACCGTTCTGGAGGAGTATGCAGATTGCAAGAAGTCGCAAGGTAATGTCGACAACAAGAAGTATGCAGTGAACGAAGTGGTGGCGAGCATAAAGGAATACTTCAACGTGATGCTGGGCAGTCAGCTGCTCTACAAGTTTGAGAGGCCCCAGTACACCGAAATCCTCTTGGCTCACCCGGATGCGCCCATGTCCCAGGTTTATGGAGCGCCACACCTACTGAGATTATTTGTAAGAATTGGAGCGATGTTGGCATACACGCCCCTTGATGAGAAGAGCCTTGCATTACTGTTGGGCTACTTGCATGATTTCCTAAAGTATCTGGCAAAGAATGCTGCATCTCTGTTTACTGCCAGTGATTACAAAGTGGCCTCAGCCGAGTACCACCGCAAAGCCCTGTGAGGGTCTACTGACCACTCACTGTTATGTCTGGTATCAGTAAACACTTTTTGTTCTTAGTCTTTTTCCTGTATGATTGATGTTCTTTCCAATTGTTAATGTACAACAGGGCTTATGTTTCAGTTGTTTTCTGTTTTGTTCTAAACAGAAAATGAAAGGAGTGCGAGCTCCTTTTCTCATTTCAGAGTTGCTACCAGTGTATGCAGTAATTAGACAAAGAAACATTCAGTAGAACATTTTCTTGCCTAGTTGACAACATTGCTTGAATGCTGGTGGTTCTATCCCTTTGACACTACACAATTTTCTAATTCTGTGTTAATGCTACATGACAAAATGCCCTGATTCCTAGTGCCAAAGGTTCAACTTAATGTATATACCCGAAAACCCATGCATTTTTGCTCTTGTTTCTCGTGCTTGAAGTAAAACAGCCCATCCTCTGCAAGTCCATCTATGTTGTTCCTTAGGCATTCTATTCTATCTTTGCTCAAATGGTTGAAGGATGGTGGTTTGTTTCATGGTTTTTGAATTTGAGTCTAATGCACGTTCTAACATGATAGAGGCAATGCATTATTGTGTAGCCATGGTTTTCTGGAGAAGTTGCTATTTTAGGAATTGTATTTCAGATCTTAAATAAAATTTGTTTCTAAATTAAAAAAAAAAAAAAGCAAAGGACCTACGTAGACATTTCTCCAAAGAGGACATACAGATGGCCGATAGACATGAAAAGATGCTCAGCATCACTAATCATCAGAGAAATGCAAATAAAAACCACAATGAGATACCACCTCATGTCAGAATGACTATCATCAATAAATCAACAGAAGTGTTTACCAGGATGTGGAGAGAAGAGAATGCTCGTGCACTGTTGGTGGGATTGTAAATTGGTTCAGCCACGATGAAAAACAAGGTGGAGGTTCCTCAAAAAGTTAGTAATAGAACTACCATATGATCCAGCAATTCCACTCCTGGAATTCCAAAACACTAATTTGAAAAAATATATGCACCCCTATGTTTACTGCAGCACTATTCACAATAGTCAAGATATGGAAACAACCAAAATGCCCATCAATTGACGATTAGATAAAGAGATTGTGGTACATTTATACAATGGAATATTACTCTGCCATAAAAATGAATGGAATCTTATCATTTGCAGTAACATGGATGGACCTAGAGGATATTATACTAAGTGAAAAAAGTCAGATTGAGAAAGACAAATACCACATGATCTCACTTATATGTGGAATCTGAAGAACAGAATAAAAGAACAAACAAAACAGAAATAGACTCATAGATACAGAAAACAAACTAATGGTTGCTAGATGGGAGGGGGTTGAGGGGATGGGTGAGAAAGGTGAAGGGATTAGGAAGTACAAATTGGTTGACACAAAGTAGTCACGGGATGTGAAATAGAGTATGGGGAATATAGTTGATAATATAAAAACTATGTGTGATATCAGATGGGTACTAGACTTATCGGGGGGGATCACTTAATTATATAAATGCCTAAACATTATGCTGTACTCCTGAAACTAATATAAAATAATATTGAATGTCAACTATAATTAAAGTGTGCATATATGTATATATATATATATATATATCCAAAAAATGTGTACACATTTTAAGAAATGAAAAAACTGTTAAAATTGTAATACTCAATATTCGATGTCTGACAATTAAGTTTGTGAACTTGTTGCAACAATGTTGCTAACCTTTTTTTGATATCAGAGGGATTATTCATTATGAATTTGTACCAACTGGACAAACAGTTAACCAAGTTT